TAACCATATATATTTGTGGGACATAGTAGCAATTAATGTCCACTAATATACTCTCAACTAATGTCCAATTTGAATGGACATTGTTTATACTATATTAATACTCTCCATTCCAATTTTGATTAAAAAAATTTCTCTCACCTCTAAAAAACTTTGATATATTTGTATATTTTAATTGATCATTTTATAAAATAAAATGCTTTTTTTACATCCTTTTTTTATAAAATTTTTTACGTAATCTTTTAATATATAATTTTTATTTTTTATTGATGTATCAATTTAAAAATAAAATAATAATATAAAAAATTGTAAGGTTTTATTTTGTAATGATCAATTATTAACCAAAATTAGCTAGGAATGCAATCCGTAATATTTAATTTCAAAATCTCTAACCCTATTTTATGAGTATTTTATCTAAATAGGACTAAAACATAATGACTTTCTTAATATAGGACCATATGTTTTTATTTTCTAATGTAGGACTTTTGGTCATTATCAAGTAGTCATTATTCAAGTAAATATTTATCATTACTGGACATTATTCCTTCCACAAGGTCATTATTAAGTTCTATTTAAGGAATAAAAAAGTTTAAGTCCTACATTAAGAAAGTCATTATGTTTTAGTCCTATTTAGTGCAAATTTCACTTTACACAAACAAAGAAGAATAAATTGAGAAAATGAAATCTCAAGTTAGAAAACAAGTCAACTCTATATCAGAATGCCACCAATTTGAAATGCAATTAGAATTCCTTCCTTTTTGTTTGTGATTCCCATAAATTTAGGAAGTGGTGCGGAAATTTAGGAAGTGGTGCGGAGTATTTAGTAGAGGATAAAATAGATGTTAGGGTCAATTTTGTCCTTCTCCTCACCAAACGTTAGTGAAAGTAGGACTACTCCTATTTAGGGAAAACTACTTTGTTTTACTCCTATTTGAGTAATTTACTCAAAAGTATTTGGTCATGCCATATTTGGCCTAGATGACTAATTAATATTATCTCCGTCCTATTGTATTTGTCTAGTTTAACTTTTTCGAGCCAAATTGGATCAACTTTGAGCTTTAATTACTTTCAAACTGGACATTACATAGATATACATTACAATTTTTTTTAATTGAAGCTCAAAGTTCATCTTGTTTAACCTAAAAAAGTCAAATTGGACATATACAATTATACACTAGAACGGAGGAAGTTATAGTTTTCAAAGAGTGAGTACCACAAATGTAATATTTTAAAATTAGATACTAAATATAAAAAATCACATATATTCAAAGACCTTTTATAGAACGTATTCAAAATTTTATGAGACGGAACAAGTATACTATTAAGAGTTTTTGTATCATTTACCCCTGAAATTTCTTAACAAGCTTTCACCCATAGACCGATGGCCAAACCGAGAGGGTGAACGCTTTGCACAAGTTATACTTTAGGCACTACGTAAGTCCAATCCGAAAGATTGGGCTAAGTTTTTTTTTACATTGCTCAGTTTTCATATAACTTGTAGAAGAGTGAATCAACAAGGTCAAGTCTGTTCAAGTTAGCCACGGGGCAGCAGCCAATGACCCCACTAGGGGTGTGCATTATTCGCTCCGAACCCGGTCCCTTTCAGGTTTGGTCTTCGGTCCTCATTTTTTACTTATTTGGTCATCCATCCGGTCCAGTCCATTCCGATCCACTGGTTTCGGTCCGGATCGGTGGACTGGTCAAAATATATACTCTCTATGTAAATCAAAAATTACAAACAATTTTTTCGTAAGACGGATAGAGTATATATATTATTTAAAATTTGTTAAAAATTAAATATAATGGTGTTAGATAATGTTTAGTGTATGTTTTACATTAGAAATTTATTAGAGTAATAATTTTATACATTTGAATACTTTAAATTAAATAAAAACATTAAATCAAAAAATAAAAAATCACATTTATTCAGTTCGGTCCCTGTCCAGTCCGAGTTTTAATTACCAGTCTGGCCTGGACCAATCCTTACCTTAATTATTCCGATCCTCGATCAACAAAATGTCTCTTATTCGATCCTGGTCTGTTCTAGGTTTGGCCCAGTGTCCAGTGATCACCCCTAGCCTAGACCCCACACACTTTAGCAATTGGCTACAAAGGTCCAAGTCGTTCATCTTTCAAGTTTGCCAAGGGTGGGTGTGAACAATCAGACTTGGCAAGGGCCTACTTAGAGAAGGCTGCGAAGAAGATGAAGAGGTGGGCCGATGCTAAAAGAAGATATTTAGAGTTTAAGGAAGGCAACTTAGTCATGGTGAAGCTCCTTCCTCACCAAAGTTGAAGGTTTGCTAAGGTGTACAAAGGGCTAATAATGAGGTGCTATGAAGGAACGTTCCTGATTGGCAATGCATCCCTTTTTCATTTAAGTCTACTTAAGCCATTCAACAAGGATAAAGATGATCCAAGTCGAGGTGAGTCAAAAAGAGAACCTACAACCATAACTACGGTGCCTGAACGAGAAGTTGAGGAAATTTTTGCGCATTGAGTTATATCGAGACGCGAGAGCCATCCGAGTTATAGTAAGTACTTTGTCAAACGGAAAGAATATCCCGATAGCGAGGTGAGTTGGAACACGAGCTGGCTTTATGGGACTATAAGGAGATGGTCGAGGCGTACAAGAGGAATGCACCGAGGACGTCGCCACATTGAGTGGGGGAGAATGTGATGCACCACTTTGTTTGCCCAAAAATCCATAAAAGCTCGAGACCCAAACCCAACCTGATCCGTTTGAAGATGTCTTGATTCGTCCAAAGAATTGTCCAGAGATATCCTCCATAGTATAGAGGACTCATGAATTTTCTAGAATCATGTGTGACTTACTAGAGAAGTCGGGGAAGGTTCTGGAATATTATGGAGTAGTGTAGAGATATTTATCCTTGGAAAATATCTCGTATAGCCTTGGAAATATCTTAGATATTTGTGTAGAGTATTCTATATACTCATTTGTAACCGTTAGGTCAAGTAGATCTTAGTCGTCCATCGAGGGGATGGAGAAGTATAAACCCCCCCATTCATTTCACTCACTCAGGAAGTGAGAAGCATTGTAAACTTTAGAGAGAGAATAATGCAAAGTTCTTTCTTTGAGTTCGAGTTCCTTCACTCATACTTAGCATTTTGATATTCCGTTAAGTTTCAGAGGAGGCTGACTAGAACCTTAGAGAAAATGTTCGCTAGGCCGCACGGTTCGTTGGAATTGGGACCAAGTCTGTGACAAAATACGCTTACAAGTCAATTTGATCTCTTTAAGTTCGGCTGAGTCAAATTAGTCCTTGATACTAGAAAGTGTATATCAAATTAGTCTTTTATGAAAAATTCATTTTTTACTCTGTAAAATTCTAAATTATAATGTTAATTGGCACAAAAACTAATACACATGAACATTGCTCTTGCGTCAATTGATGTGCTAATTCAAAATTTTCACAAATAATTTGATTCAATCGAACTTATATAAACCAAATTGATTTCTTAGAGAATGTTTTCCCCAATTTATTCTTGTTACTTTTTTTTATTGGAATCAGTTCAGATCGAAAACAATTTCAGATATAACTACATTCTAATTAGGTCAAATCAAAATTTATTCCAATCAAATCAGAATAAAATACAACAAGTTTTAGTTCGCTTACAAGGACCAAATCACTATTAAACTCATGGATAAAGCTATTTGTACCCGATTGTTTGTATCCCATTTGTACACCGAATGTGTGCACCAATATTTTGTGTTGGTGTAATGCTAATTTTGTTAACGCACTAACACTTTCACTATGTTTGATTCAAGGAATTTGAAAATGAAAAGAAAAGAAAATGAAGTGGAAAATCATTTTTCTTGTTTGGTTAGAGAGGAAAAGAAAGGAAAAGTGGAAGGAAAAGAAAATGAGGAGGCAAAATGTACCAAGTGGAGGGAAAATCAAATTCTTTCCATTTTGGTGAGGAAAATCAGAGAAAACCATTTTCTTTTCTTTCTAAAATCCTTGAGCCAAACATAGTGTTTGTGTCAGTATAAATTTTTGTTAACACACTAATACTTTGCATCAGCATAGACCATCAAAATGTTGATGTATAGTATTGATGAAGTGTAGGGGATACATTTTGGTGTAAGTGGAGATGGTTCTAAACTCATTTCTCCTCCGTGTATGCGAGCAAGAGTGTTGCCGACATTTAACGATTTTTATTTTATCATACATATCCCTTCTAGCAGCAGCCTTGTAGTCTTTCTTGTACGCGTAACGCGTAAGTGAAAGAACAAATTATACGGCTTTGATCGGTCGGTCTGGTCTCTCTACAGTGGTTGCTGCTTTGACTAATTGGGTCCCGGTTTAACACGCCCTTCTTCCTTAAGCTTCAACAACTCCACACCAGATCCCCATTCTGGTTCCTTCTTCCCCGCCGCAGAACACTAGATCCGGCGACCTACAGCGATGGATCTGCCGCCGGAGGAGCTCCAGTTCTTGACCATTTCCGGCGTCGTCAAGGAATCGATCTCCATCCCCCGCCGATCTCCCAAGACCTTCTACTTCATCTCTCTAACCTTAATCTTCCCCCTTTCCTTCGCGATTTTGGCCCACTCCCTCTTCACTCACCCGATCCTCTCGCAGCTCCGGGAGAATCCCCGCGCCGACCACGCCGACCAGTGGGCCAAGCTTCTCCTCTACCAGTTCTGCTACCTCATCTTCCTCTTCGCCTTCTCCCTCCTCTCCACCGCCGCCGTCGTCTTCACCGTCGCGTCCCTGTACACGGCCAAGCCCGTTTCCTTCGGGTCCACCCTCTCCGCCATCCCCAGCGTCTTCCAGCGCCTCTTCATCACGTTCGTCTGGGTTTCCTTCCTGATGCTGGTGTACAACATTGTGTTCCTTCTGTTTATGGTGCTGTTGATTGTGGCCGTGGACACTGACAGCGTCCTGTTGTTCTTGTTCTCTGTGGTTGTGTTGTTTGCTCTGTTCTTAGTAGTCCATGTTTACATAACCGCGGTCTGGCATCTGGGTAGTGTGGTATCAGTGCTGGAACCAGTCTATGGTCTGGCTGCCATGAAGAAGAGCTACGAATTGCTTAAGGGGAGGACCCGGATGGGGTTCGTGCTGGTTTTCTCCTACCTGGCAATCTGTGGAGCAATCAGTGGGTTGTTTGGGATGATTGTGGTGAACGGAGGCGAGTATTACGGGCTGTTTTCAAGGATTTTGGCAGGAGGATTCTTGGTCGGCGTGCTGGTGGTGGTCAATCTTGTTGGGCTTTTGGTGCAGAGTGTGTTTTACTATGTGTGTAAGAGTTTCCATCACCAGGGGATTGACAAGAGTGCTCTCTATGACCACCTCGGAGGGTATCTTGGGGAATACGTGCCTCTCAAGAGCAGCATACAGATGGAAAACCTTGACGGTGAGTGAGAGTTGATTCCGATGGGACAAAACAGGAAGTAGCTAATCTCTGTGCTTTCCTTGAACACTTTGTGTTGTTTTAAGATATGTAAAAAAGAATTGCTATCAAGAGAATGACTTTGTACTTTGTAGTATTTACTCCATTTCATGGAATGCATTGGGGACAATGGCTTCTTTCGCTTCGACTTTGGCTTCTTAGCTCATGGAATCTGATTTGTAGTCTTCATGTCTAGCATTTTAACTTGAAGTTTCATTCTAAAAGGTAAACTTGATAGGGGTAGTTAAGGTCTTTAGTTGGTTTGGTGGTTATAACAAGCAGATTTAGGAGGGCCCTATGAAGTTTTCTTTGGAAGATCAGTTTACTCATTTTATTTACTCAGGGGTGTGGTTTTTGAATGCCTTCATATGCCACTTAGGCTACATGGGGTGTTACTCCGTTTGGTTTTAAACGGATTGGTCTATCATCAGAGCTCTTATTGGTAGTTGCTCAGAACAAATTCAACTTCTCATAATCCAATGCGGACATCTCGTGAGGTCTGATAAAACTTGCATTGTAGCTTCGCAAGTAGGTGACATGTTGTCGCCTGAAAAACAAGGCTAAGGCCTCAATTTATAGGCCTAAATCTCAGTGATCGTTGCTCTTGATTGACAATCAAGCCCCAAATTTTAGCAACGTAGAAACGAAATAAAATCTTGCTAGAAATGTTCAACGATCATATTCGTAATAAATTTTCTGAATCAACATTGAAAAGTCTAGCCATTAGGAGGTATCAGTCATATTGTTCACGATGAATAATAGGTTGTTATTGGTTTTCTGCTTAGAAGAAAAATGACAACTCACAATTGTTTGTTCATATAGAACAACCGTTTGTTGGTTACGTTGTTATCTCGCCAACGACAAAGTATATTTTGAAGCATAAAAAAAATATTTAGTTTTAGCCAAGGACAAAGTAATATTTGTTGATCTTAAATGAGTTTTACCTAACGACCAAAGTCTTAGGATCTTAGGTCGTGAAGTCTTGATCAGAACATCGTAGTTCTCATCTGTCTTACTAGAGCGCCTACTCTATGGACTAAAACTATGCTCAAATCACACGATACCACTTAAACAATCTTTAAAGCCTTTTGTTTCTTGATATTATAGATATGAAATCTTTAGGTGGCCTCTACGACACACTTATATTCAACAATCTACCACTAGCACTAAGACCAATTATGCATTACATGAATGCCCCATGCCCGAAGTGTGACCCTTTTGTCTAGGTGTTCCCAAAACCTTGGTCAATGGATTTATATATTGTTTATCCTTTCTTATCTTGCAATTATTGTAACTTTCACGTTCTATGACTTTTCGTATATTGTGATAATGTTTCGATTTCTTAGTAAGATTGTAGTTCCTTCAACTTGTGTAGCAACCTCGTCGTTGTTAATACAACTGAATTAGTGTTTAACGCTTGGAATCATATTAAAAACATTACCAAAAATCAACACACCTTCCTTTTGATGCTTCTTGAGCTGCCAGTTCTTCTTATAGTCAAACATGTGATACCATGTCTAAGCTTTAGAAGCATATGGTTCGTAATGTGATGAGTCCGTTTCATTCTTATCATTTACATCATATTCTAAATGTTATTGCGCATAAATAGAATTTAATCATCTCATAAAATGTGCTTTTCATGACTAAAACTCTCATTTTCGTTTTAAGAGTCAGAAAAAGGGATTCCAAATGAAATCATCATAAATCATCCATTTTATGTTCAAATACTTGATAAAAGGAGAAAGAATCATCAAGGGATTAAGATTCGGGCTTAAACGAGCTTCTGGAAAGTCAAAAACAATGTTCAGGGACAAAAAGAAGTGAAATTAGGCCAAAATTACAAAACCAGCCGCGAAGCCCAAAGGAATAAGGGCCTGAGGCATCCAACTTGGACGCTTGGCCAAGTTGGACACTTCAAGGTTGGACGCTTGGACTTAATTGGAAGTGAAACAATCTGCAGAAGGTACCCAAGATGTTTCAGGACTTGTTGAAGCACGTGTGTATAGAATAGATATAGTATGGGAACTCCTCTAGTCTGGAGGAAGAATCTAAATGAGAAACTGATCAGGGTGAAGAGGAAGAAGGTTGGGATGACTGGCATGGCAAGAAAGAATCCAACAGAAATAAAAATTTGAGGAAGTTTGAGAATCTTAGTAATCAGTTAGGTGGATGGATCCCAGGTAAACCAAGGAGTGAAAGGTTGGTAAACTTAAGAAATCAGCTAATTGATGAAAGGAACTTGGAATCCCTTTCCTTGGGTTAATGACCTATACTGATTTTGTTTAGCTTTCTTAAGGTTTAGTATTGCAAGTTGTTTTCTAATCAGAAATAGTAAAATTACAGTTTGGGGTGCATTATTGTTCCAAATATATTATGTGATAGCTATTTGAGCAAATTCTAAATTCATGGTTAGAGTTCAAGTTATCTATGATGTATGGAGTAATGATCATATTCTTAAGACACTACTAGATTTTTCTCTCGGATCCTGCTTGTGGTAAGGATGTTAGAAGACTCAAATCTAGCATCACAGTGCACAGACTCAGTCAAATGCATTTCTACTCAGTAGCCAACTAATCTATTGACTTCTTGCGGTTGAAGGCCTCTATTTTCCAAAGCGAGCAACTGCTACCAAGCATCTATTAAGTGGTTCATTCAATTGTTATGTCTGTTGCTGTTACGGGACTATTATTATTATTATTATTATTATTATTATTATTATGGTAAGGAGTTATTTATAGTTAGTTAACTATTATTAGGAAATATTATATTTGTTAGGTGATTAATTAGTTTCCTAGTTTATTTAGTTACCTTTTATAATTAGGATTATTAATTATTTAGTTAACATTTATTATTGAGATTCTCTAGAGTTGGAGCCTATAAATGTATCCATCACCATAGTTTTATCAATCAATGAATAAAGAAAATACTTTCTCCTAAACCCCAATCTTTCTCTTTCTCGCCTCTTTTGTTCTTGGAGCTCGAAGGTGCTCGAAATCCTTCCCTATCCCGATACGATACCGTATCAATTGGTGCTCTCATTCTTGAACTCGCCCAAAAAATACAAAAAAAAAAAATCTACGGCACACGCAATGGATTCTCTGTTGGACAAAGTTCTTGGTTTACTCGGAAAGTTCTTCGGGGAAAAATTGAATTTTATGAAGGCGTGTGTGCAGTTGAAGATTCCGTGGATGAAATTATAAAGAAACTTCAGGCATTCCGTCCAATTGAAGGTCAACTAAAATTTGATTCCGAGGTATATGCGTTCTCCGTAGAGGCCTTTTGCTCAATACAAGATTTAGTTCATGGTCTCCCAATTATGCCAAGCCTGATTCCTATAGAGATACATTTTCAAAACAACCATGATGCGTTCTATTAAGAAACTCATCGGCACTCCACAAGATTTGGCCCTTCCTGTACCTGTGCAAAACACAACTTTGCAGGACCAGGAATTTAAAAAGGAAATTTTTATTGATCCTGTTGGTGTTCATGATGATGATCTTATGATAGATCCCATAGATGTTGTTCCTATTGCCGTTGTTGATGTTGTTGTTGATGTTTCTGGTGACGATCAACGAGACCACACTATCCAAGAAAAATATTCAAGCGATGGTATTATTTTTTATGGATGCACGGAAACATTTGGGATGTCAGAAAGTGACGTTGTTGTCCTATATGATTCTAGGGCTGTCACGCGTGCTGGCAAGATTTTCTTCTCATTGGTTCTCTGGAGTTGTTTGCTAGGAGTTGTGAATGCTTTGAGCTTGGCCGAATCTTTTGATGCTCCATTCATAAAGGTCTTTGACCCCGGAGGATGTCCGTTCACAACGCATGATTCCTCGCTTTTTCTAGATTTCCAACTTAAGGACAAGTTGGTTTTCGAGGTGGGGAGAATGTTACCGGACTATTATTATTATTATTATTATTATTATTATTATTATTATTATTATTATTATTATTATGGTAAGGAATTATTTATAGTTAGTTAACTATTATTAGGAAATATTATATTTGTTAGGTGATTAATTAGTTTCCTAGTTTATTTAGTTACCTTTTATAATTAGGATTATTAATTATTTAGTTACCATTTATTATTGAGATTCTCTAGATTTGGAGCCTATAAATGTATCCATCACCATAGTTTTATCAATCAATGAATAAAGAAAATATTTTCTCCTAAACCACAATCTTTCTCTTTCTCGCCTCTTTTGTTCTTGGAGCTCGAAGGTGCTCGAAATCCTTCCCTATCCCGATACGATACAGTATCAGTTGCTATTTGTGTCCAACCGTTTAGCACTTTTCTTTGAACACTTCAATTGTACTCTTAATTTGGCTTTCTACTTGGCTGTTATGTAACGGCTAGGCCACCCCCACCTTTGTACTTTTCCCTTTTCATCAATAAATACTTTTTTAGTGTATCATTAAAGATTAGATAATAGATTTACTATACAAACTCTAAGTAAAGTTCTTCTATTTAAAATTTGTTAAGGAATACACATTGGATGAACATGACTCTTCCCATCGCAAAAGAGTTGTCTATGCAATTAATGGGAAAGTTACGTTCTTATGTTTACACATAGGATATTTGCCCGATGTGTAAGATTTACACAGCGGATATTTACCTGATGATGTGTAAGGTTTACACATCAGATATTAACCCGATGTGTAAGGTTTACACAATGGATATTTTTCCGCTAGGTAAAGAAGAGAACTTTTCCATCGGTTGCATGGACATCGACTCTTTTACAATGGGAAAAGTCATATTTATCCACGGTGTAAAGTCTTTTTTGTAGTAGTGTTAAGTTATGAGCTATAAATAAGGACGAATAAGGTAATGATTTGTGACTTGTGAATTTATTTAATAACTGTTATGTGATATTATTAATGGTGTACTTATGTGCATGATATTGTATGAAATTATAAGCTAGTGAGTACATTAGTGTGTAGTCATAACATTAGATATTTCTCACTTAGCTTTATTGTTGAGCGTGTAGCCCTTTTTCCTATTTGTTATACGTATGTAACATGAATGTGAATAAGGAAATAATCCTGGAGGACAGCGAGGACGAGAATATGGATGGATACTGGCTAGAGGAGTTATCTAGCTTAATCGTTACATTTGAACTTATTCTATTTAAAGGGCAAGAA